TGATAGCTTAAGTGATACCATAAATCCCCTATAGCTGCAGAAAAGGCTAACATTGTTATCTTTTTACAAAAAAACAGCTGAACATGAGAGGTTTTTGGACCAATTTTGTGTTCTCCATTCTTTAAGCACCGGTTCGAGCACCGGCACCGTTTCAAAAGTACCGGTTTGGTACTGGTATCGTATAAAACCTAAACGATACCCATCCCTACTGAAGAGCCTTGAGGTCCTGCAGGTTTTAGATTTGTCCTTGATCCATCACAGCTGATTTAAATGACTAAATTACCTCCTGATCATTCTGGCTTTACTACAGCACAAGACACTTTAACATCTTACCTACACTATGTACACTAGCTGTAAATTTCAAGATTGTTCTATTTTATCTTAATTTATACAAAGTATATAACTCACCCACTTGCACATAATATCCTCTTTGTATATACTCATTCACTGTATATAAAGTTCTCTCTCTCTTTTTTGCATAGTCGAGGAGCGTATCAGGTCACATTTCACTGTGTTGTACTTGTATAACTATGCACGTGACAAATTGAATTGAATCTTGAATCTCAGTGCAGTGACTTCGGCAATGGAGGTCATGAACATGGTCCATTTGGACTCAGTGTTCCCGCCAGGTCTGTCCAGCATCCACCTGATCCAACTCACCACTGGGTGGTGATCAATTGATAGCTCAGCCCCTCTCTTTACCCGAATGTCCAGGTCTGGTGATATGATTACAAAAATCAATCATCGACCTCCAGCCTAGGGTGTCCTGGTGTCACGTGCACTTATGAACACCCTTATATTTGAACATTGTGTTCGTGCTCTATTGCTAACACAAACAGACAGAGGGCAGCCCTGCCTGGTTGACTGCTGTAAATTAAAGGGCTTTGACATGTTATTGTTAGTTAAAACTTGCACTGTCTGGCTTGTATACATGAACCAGATCCATTTGAGAAATGTTTCACCCAGTCCATATTTGGGGAGCACCTGTAAGAGATAGATCCATTCTATTCTATCAAAGGCTTTGCATGCATCTAGTGATAACAGTGGTGTGTCATTATGGTTTTTGTCATACAGTACATTGAGGACGCGTCTTCTATTGTGATAGCCTTGTCTCGTTTTAACAAAACCTTGTTGATCGTCTATTATCAAATTAAGCACATATTTATCCAATCTCCTAGAAAACGCTTTACACAAAATCTTTGTATCACAACCCATTAGTGATGGGATTTCCGGCTCTTTTTAGAGAACCGGCTCTTTCGGTTCGGCTCACTAAAAAGAGCCGGCTCTTTCGGCTCCGAACCGGCTCTTCAGGTTGTTTTGTTGCTTTAATTAATTTATTATTAACAATAATATAAAATTATGCACAAAAGGAATTACTAATGTAAAAAAAAAGTGGTTTTATTTATATATGTTTATATATAAATATATGCGGTGGCCCCTAGAGACAAAACACGTACAAACTCCAAAACACATTTCTAGCATGAACTGAACTTCCAAAACAGAGCTACCTAGATCACTTAAATTACACAATTGAAAGCATAAATGTGTATTGTTTGTGTATTTATACACAAGCATTCATATATATTCAAATAATTAAAAAAAAAAGTTCATTTACCTGTTACTACCACACACCAAATCCGGTCGTTGGTACTTGCTGGCTTGTGTAGCCACTAGGTAACAAAAGCTCAACACTGCCTAGCATCCTGGAGCACTTCTGTTGTCTTTTGTACTGTTTTGGAGTTTGTTACGTGTTTTGGTAGTTTGTACGTGTTTTGGAGTTTGTACGTTCGAGTCGTATTGTTTGATGTATGCTTGTTGAGGGGCCACCGTAAATATACTTTTATTTATTCACTCCACATAAAATGTAATAAATAAATCATATAATACAAAAATCAACTATTCACATTTCAACTTTTAACTATTTAAATTTTCAGCTTTTTCCTTTTACAAATTTAAAGTGAAACAACACAAAACACTGCAAACCACAACACAATTAAATATAAATTATAATATGAAAACAAAAAGAACATGCATATTCTCTGTCATATGGACCTGCATGAATAAACTTTCTGAATCCTTTATCATCTGCAACTGAAAATAGTTGTGGATGATTACTATACCTTTCTAATGTGACGTTGTTGTCCCTGGCTCTTTCTCTGTCTCTCCCTCCCGCTCTGTTCCTGTGCTACTGGGGTGACCATGGCTCAGGGGGTTGGGAAGCGTATCTGTAACCGGAAGGTCGCCGGTTCGATCCCCGGGCTCTCTGTCCTGGTCGTTGTGTCCTTGGGCAAGACACTTTACCCTACCGCCTACTGGTGTTGGCCAGAGGGGCCGATGGCGCGATATGGCAGCCTCGCTTCTGTCAGTCTGCCCCAGGGCAGCTGTGGCTACAACCGTAGCTTGCCTCCACCAGTGTATGAATGTGAGAGTGAATGAATAGTGGCATTGTAAAGCGCTTTGGGTGCCTTGAAAAGCGCTATATAAATCCAATCCATTATTATTATTATTATTAGAATGTAACTACCGCCCCTCCCCCCTCTTGCCCAGCGTAAAGCACAAGGCTCGCATGCGGAGTAAGCGGAAAAAAGTGCCAGAGAGAGAGAGGGTGAGAGAAAAAAAAAAAACCCACGGCTCGCGATAAGGAGCCGGCTCTCGTCGTTCACGTCAAAGAACCGGCTCTAAGAGCCATTTCGTTCGCGACCGACCCATCACTACAACCCATAAGACTGATTCCCTAAAGGATGTTAACGGAATGTTAACGTTCAAAATGTTTTCTTTAGTTGTCCTCTTCATAAAATAGTATCAGATTGTGTACTTAAGATAGACAAAGTAAGGAAAAAGGAGATGCAGGTTTGCACATACATTCACATACTCACACACACCAGATACAGAACTTGTAAACAATCTCTGATTGAACATTTGCATTTACTTATCAGAAATGCCTCCCCCTTCCCTTGAGCAAAATATTTGGAGGGTGTTAATCCACATCACTGAGGAGTAACTAGTCAACGCAACCTCACTAAAGCCCCATAAATCAGACAGTGTCTACTAATCATATAAAGGTACTAATTTGTTCCATAATAAAATAAAGTTTACCCTTGATAGCAAAAAATAATGACTTAATTAAGGCTCAGCTGTTAGTATAGATCCTAAAACAATTCAGATTAAACTTAGAACGAATATGTGCTTTAAAATGCCCAGTTATGTTGTATTAATTCAAACTCAAGATTTTATCTGTCTCTTGTCAATGACTCTGTTGCTAATCAGTTATGTAGGAGCAGGAGCTGTCTCATTAAATGTCTTAAAGGTTAACCTGTTGTTTAAGTAACTTGTCCTTTACGACTTACTGATCATGGGCATCTTCTCATGTGTCCTTTGGCAGATTCTTATAGAATTTTTCAGCTTCTTGAGGTGTTGAGAAAAGGTGGATCTTTCCATCGTACAGGATCCTGGGCCTATAGGGGTTGTGCTGGAATCCATGGAAGGCATTATTATCAATAAGCAGCTTGACAACCTGGTAAAAATCCCCATAGGATCCTAACCATTTCCGCAGACAGATCCTATGCAAATGTGATCTTGTGTAATTTTTGTTTTCTTGCTTCCCAATATACCAGTTCTTTCTCTTGGAATTTTAAGAAACCAATGAGCACCGCTCTGTTCTGTTTCCCGGGGGCTAGCGTGCGATGTATTCGTTCCAGTGTGAATGACTTGTCAGGTGCTAGCCCCAGCATTTAGGTAGCATGTTGTTAATAAAGTCGAAGAGTGGTTGTTTCCCCTCTGCTTCCTCTCTTATGCCAAAGATGCACAAGTTCTTTCATTTTACTCGGTTTTCTAAGTCATCTGTTTTGGCTTCAAGAAGTAGGATTCTTTTGATAGTTCAGTGATGTTTCTGTTTTTTTCAAGTGTGCTTTCTACCTCAACAATGCAAGCCTCAGCCTCCTCGATATGAGCCGCCTGGTTCAATATGTCTCAGATTTGATTTGAACTCATCCAATACTTCATCTGTGTTGTGTGCTGGATTTGGTGCGGTTGTCTTAGTGCCTGTCTTGCGTCTTCGGGAAAGATTTCACACTGTTTGACAGATGAAGCTTTAGACATTTCAATGCTGTATATTCCAAACCACACTAACAGCGTACAGTTCGTACGCTGTCTTAGTAGCAATCCCGCTATGCTGCCATCTTAAGGCTGGGCCACATGACCCCATCCCTATGGTATATCTTTGTTAATATTGTCATTTAAGCTTATCATCAGATAATGAAGAAATTTTACAGCTGCTCAAAACCTGTCATATCCACCTTAGCTTTCACAAATAGCGTGTTGTCTTTAACGTACAGAGCATTTTGGGGAGTTTGCAGCATATTGTGGGAAATAAAGCAAGGAAATCCAACAGCAACATTGGTCTGGGATTCAGGAGTGGGTTGTTGGAAGCACTTGGTGGTATGGTCAGGTCTGAAGCTGAGACTCCGATGGTTAGAGGCACCACTTTGGTCCAGAACAGAGAGAGACACAGTCTGTCTGAAAGGCCATGGCAGAAGAGTGTCAAAGTCTCCAGGCATGAGGACTACATAAAGTGACAGGTGAGTACCTCTTCCCTCCCCATCCCCATTCAGATAGGCTTTAATGGCCATCTTGTATCCACAGCGTCCAGTGTAGAATGGCACACTTGTCAGGCATGACAGCTGACCATTGGCCTCTGCCCCACTCCTCTTCCCAAAGTCTTCAATTTTCCAGATCAATTTCCCATCATAAGATGTCGCTTCAAGCTCCTGCAGGTGCTTTTTATTGAGATTAAGTTGAGCAGCATGAAGATGTAGGAGGCCTGAGTGACGCTTTAAGTTCTCCTCCAAGGTTCCTGGTTGAAGAACATAATAAGATCATTTAGCGAAATCCTGAAATATTCTTTACTGTCTAGACACGCCCAATCATTGTTGAATTATTTTACTGTTCATTTAGTTCAGAAAAACAGAGTAATAACCACCAAGGCTGGATTAACCTTTTCAGATTCCAGATTGTGATTATGAAGATAACTGTTGGTTGCAGCCTTAGGATCTTACCTCATTTCTTTTATGTGTTAATGACTTTATCCAGAAAGTTTATAGTAAATGAGCTCAGACTAAACTACATCCATAAAAGTCCATAAAGGGTCCTAATCTGGTGTTTTAAATTTCAAAATCAGAGGCACAGAATGTTGGAAGGAGGACAACTGATATTTTTCTTCATTTTATATTGCATCAATGCAGAAATTACTCATTGTTTCAATTTACGATTAAGAACGTTTTTCATGTTCTTGAAAACATGAAAGTAAAGAAAGTGGAGAACTGGAACCTTGTCTTAACCTTGTTGAGACAAGTGGTGGATGGTGAAAGATATTATTGGAGGATCGCACCAGACTACTTGACATTGTCTAGCTACAGTCTCTGTTGCTAAATGAAGACAGCATATTTCATATCTGACCAAGTAACAATTTATTAATACAGGGAAGACGCTGTTACATTTACTGTGGTAAAGAGGTCTGAGGTTCAGTTACCTAGATGCTCTCTAAGGGCCTCAACTTCAGACACTTCCTGCATCGCAACATCCAGAGACTTCCTGAGCTGTGCTAGCTCTTCCAGATGAGGACGAAGCCCCCGAGACACCTGCTGGAGGTCCAGCTGGACAGAAGATAGGGTATCCTCTTGCCTTCTAAGAGTTCTCTGATAATACACAGACAGACATGGGTACAGTGGGGTAATTTGTGTGTTTATTTACATCAAATGTAAATAAAACATTCTCTAAATTTTATGGTAGTTAAAATTAAGAAAGACAGAATATAATCAACAAAAAAGAAAAAAAAAAATCCAGAAAAAAACATTGTTATCTGGCATCATGGGTAGATAAAATTGGGTATTATCAGCATTGCAGTAAAAATTAATGTTATGCCTTTTAATGAGACTGCCAAAGGGAAGAATGCATAACGTAAACAGAATTGGTCCTAGCACAGAACCCTGTGAAACGTGTGAAGAGGCCTCTTCTTTTACATGAACTTGGAGTCTAGTACATAGATGTGTTTTAAACCACTGTAGTGCAGTGCCTTTAACACCTACAGCATGGTCTAATGAAATATTATGGTCAACAGTATCGAATGCTGCACTGAGGTCTAGCAGGACAAGAAAGCTGTTCATTAAAGCTGTTTCTGTGCTGTGATGAGCTCTGAAACCTGACTGAAACTGTTCAAATAAATAAGTTATGTGTCCAGCAAACTTGCCTGAGTGGAATCTTCTCATTTGTCTTTGAACCTGGTCATGAGTGAAAATGATAGGTGGGGGAGGGGTGTCAGGACTTTTACCCGAAGCTATGGTGCCATGTGGAGGGAGAGAGGGTGCTGTGGCTGTGGATTGCACACTGACTACAAGTAAGTCAGTAGGAGGGTGAGCATTTATGGCAATGTTGAGTCTGTTGAAAAACAGATTCAACTCATTAGCTCTGTCCTCACCGCCCTGTCCTCTGTCCTCAAGTCTTGTGACTCCCTCATCTTTAGAGGCCTTCCTCACTCAGAGGGGAAGACCAGTACCGTTTAAAGATCCAGTATTGGCTTTCATACAAGAGACCTGGTTTAGAGCTCACCAATTTATCAACACTAGCCCCTATCTTACCTCTAGAGCCTCTATCTGGTATAATAAGAAAATATTAATTGGTAAGAAACCGTTCAGGTGGGAGGCTTGGTTTAGGGCAGGTATCAACCAGGTGCGGGATTTATTTGGGCAAACTGGCATGAAATCATTTGTGGAAATCAGACAAGAATCTAATCTGGATCCAAGGGAAATTTGGAGGTTTTTTCAAGTTAGACACTGTATTAAAGCCATTTTGAACAATAACCCAGACCCTCCATCTAGTATTCAGGAGGTGTTTGCAGCTCCTGGTATCAATAGAATCAGAGCATCCAAATTCTATGGGATCTTCAGAGAGGCGCACTCTCCCAATTTGGAGGGGCTGAGGCAGTGCTGGGAGAAGGATCTGGGAATTCAGATTTCAGGGGATAGTTGGAAGAAGCTGGCTTCATCATGGTATGTTTGCTCACGTGAAGCACAATCTCAGCTTATCCAATACAAGTTGCTTCACAGAAATTACTGGACTCCCAGTAAGCTAGTCAGGTTGAAGCTTGCTTACACTGACACCTGCTGGAAATGTCAGGAGGAAGCCGGGACCCTAGTTCAGGGGTGCCCAATCCCAGTCCTCGAGAGCTACCGTCCTGCAGCTTTTAGACGCATCCTTCTTCTGACACACCTGAATCAACTGAATGGCTTGTTGTCAGGCCTTTGCCAAACTTGATGGCATGCTGAAGAGGTAATCACACCATTTGATTCAGCTGTGTTGGAGTAGGGATGCATCTAAAAGCTGCAGGATAGTAGATCTCGAGGACTGGGATTGGGCACCCCTGCCCTAGTTCATGTTGTATGGATGCCGGAAAAATGATTTTTTGTGGGACGGGATCATTAACCTTGTGAATGATCTTTTTAATCTTCACCTTTCTAAGTCTCCAGCTTTGTGTACCCTGGGTCTGTTACCTGACAGCAGTATTCTCACTAGAAGACAGAGACTATGGGTGCGTTTGGCTTTCATAACAGGCTGCAGGATAAGGCACTGGAAATCATCCAGCCCCTGTTGTTTCAGGGAATGGTCTGAACAAATGTCCAAGATGGCATTATATGAACAGGTTACGTACAGAGTTAAGGGGAGAGAAGATATTTTTGATCAGGTTTGGGGTCCCTTTTTGTTGTACATCGACAATGTCTCTTAGATAATGTGATACGTTGTTTTTTTTTCTTACTTTGTTTTCCTTATGTCATTGTCATTGTTGTTGTTGTTCTTTTTCTTTGACAGCCAGTAGAGGAAAGAAATTGGTCAAGGTCGAGTTTAGTTTCTAGGCACCTGGGTGTTCTGCCCCTTTTGTTCTTGTTTTTGCTGGTGTTTCCCAGTAGGCAGTTTCTTATTTTGTTTCTTCTGTTTTTTTTTCGTTTTTTTTTCTCTCTTTTTTCTTTTGGTTTTCTTTAGCTATTGTTAGCTCTTATTTGTTTGTTGCTGTTAAGAAACGGACGGAGAACTGACAATATTATTACTCCCGTTGTATATGTGTATATGTTTCTGTCCATCCAAAACATGAATAAAAAAAAGAAGATAGTAGCCATCCAAAATTCTACTTCTCTTTCTTCTGAAAGACTAATTATTATTATTATTATTATTATTATTATTATTATTATTATTTCCAATGTAGGTGAACTGAGAGTTAAAACAGAGTATGCTTAACATGTTCTACTAATTTGAATTGTTCTACTCAATTCAATTTTAGTTATATAGTGCTAAATCACAACAGTCACCTCAAGGTGCTTAATATTGTAAGCTTTCCCTTACAATTTTAAGCACCTTGAGGTGACTGTTGGGAAAACCTACATCTACACCAAACGTAACAGTTGTCTTATTCAACCAATGACTATTCAAATAGTGGGCTTCCAAAACAGGTCAGCAAGTCAGCAAAAGTTATGGCTGAATTTTAAAAAATCCACAATGGAAAGAGATTATTTAGCATGAACATCAAACCAAAAGTGAGATTTTGAATTCTAGCAATGGTCCACTTTGTTTTCATTTTTCATTAATATCTAACATTCTTTGTCAAATATATCTACCAGCCCACCTCTGCACATGTCCAAACTGTGAAAGTCTGCCATCAAAGAGACTGGAGGCCTCCAAAAAATGCTGATGAACTTCTTGATAATATTTGGAGTGATCTATGCATTACACCTACACTACTATAGTTATCCCAAGGACTGAACACCGCTGTAATCATTCCGAGTACAGGGGTCTGGAAGCTGGTTGTCATAGTACTGGGTCTGTGAAATTTTTTTAAGTTATATTATTTGAATTATTGTTTTCTGCTTGTATTATATTTATATTTATAGTTCCTAGTTTCTGTTTTGTTTCTGTGCCTCCCCTGTGTTCCTGGTGTCATGTATCTGTTGAAGGTTTAGTTCTGTATTCTTGTTCTCTTTATTTTGTCTACGTGTGTTGTATGCTTAGTTCTGAGTCTTAGCACTCTGTCACTGTCTTCCCTGTGTTCCACATCTAGTTACTTTTGTCTCTGTGTTTCATGTTTCCTTTGTTCCCGAGTCTCAGTCTGTCAGTCTGTGTCCGTTTCATGCTTCCTATTTTATTTTGATAGTCCTTGTCCTGTGTTCAGTATGTTGAGTTTAGCTTCCCCTTTGTCTCATTATGTTTGATTATTCCCTGCTCTCCTCCTGTATCTGAGTCCCTCATTACTAAATACACTCCCTTGTGTATTTAAGCCCTGTATTTTTCTCTGTCCATTGTTCCATCATTAACAATGATTTATGTATCCTCAAACTGTGTGTGGCTGTTTCAGAGATTGAAACTCTCCCAAGAGGCTGAGCCATCTCAACCTCCTGCAGCTGTTTCCACCTGGGAGCTCTGCCAGCCTTCTCAGATGAGAGCTAGGGTGAGCCGACCCAGACACCTTCATCATCGGCTAAGAGCTTGGGCACAAACAGCCCCAGCCTCCTCCTCTGTCAGCTGAGGGCTCAAGCGAGCTCATCCAGCCTGCAAAAGACTTAACATTTCTGCAGGCCGAGAAGCATCCTGAGCTGGCTTTGTGCCCTGCGCAGCTCCAGCTAGCTTCGCCTCACCCAGAGGTTTCCACACCTGCTGGTTTGATGCCTGTTTCCACTGGAGGCTCAGGAGAGCTGCTCCAGCTGATTGCGGCTTCCAAGCCACCATCCGTCTCCGCCGGGGCCTTAGGATAGTCCGCCCAGCCATCACCTGCTCAACTGCCAGTGGCTGCCATGTCACCTCCAGCGCAATCACCAGTACAACCATCTGCAGGTGCCACACCACCGCCTGCAGCTCCATCACCCATAGCTTCCATGCTGCTGACTACTGAATCATCAGCTCAACCACCTGCAGCTTCTACGCACAGTCTCCCCCATCTCCATCTCCACCAGAGGTCAGTGCGCCGTCTGGTCCTGCCTCATGTGGTCCTGCCTCATCTGGCCCTGCACACCAGCCGTCTGCCAATGGCTGCCAAGTCGCACTGACACCAGCCACTTTCCACACCAGCACTTTCTTTGCCATCATGGCAGCCTTAGTTTTGCCTGTACCACCGCTGTTTCCCACGCAGTCGGCCTCCGAACCTGTTTTGCCACCGCTGCTGCTTCCCACATGACCCCCAGAACTGTGTTTTTCTCTGTTTTTTTCTGAGGAAATGATTTTATTTTCTTAAATAATTTCTTGAATAATAACATCACATTGTGTTATTGCCGGAAACCAAGAAAATATCCAGGTATTTGACTTTTGTTTAATTCAAAAGACTGCTTGAAAATTGAGTTTTTCTAAATTGGAAAAGTGACTCTATTGTGCTATTCCTTTTAAGTTATAACTTTAAGTAGCAGGAACTGAATATTTTTTAATTTATATATTAAATGTGCTAATTTACATCCAGATCAAACTGGGTTTGTGCCCCAGAGGTTTTCCTTTTTTAACGTTCGGAGATTGATGAACATTATGTATCATAGGCATTGGGGGACTTGCAAGATCGCAGTACTGAGCTTAGATGCTGAAAAGGCGTTTGACCAGGTCGAGTGGGCCTATATGCTTGGGGTACTGGAGAAGTTCGGTTTAGGCGAACAGTTTATATCATGGGTTAATATGCTATATAGACATCCCACTTCTTCCATTCTCACTAACCAAGATAGATCAGCGCCTTTTTCTTTACACCGCAGGACACGACAAGGCTGCCCTTTGAGACCTTTGCTCTTCTCAGTTGCTATTGAACCTCTTGCAGTAGACATTAGGAATGAGCCCTCCATTGACCCTGTCCGATTGGGGAATATCAAGCACTACATTTCTTTATATGCGGATGATGTTGTTTTGTTCTCATCAAATCCTGAGTGATCTGTTCCTGTACTATTGGATCTGGTGAGGTCATTTGGTGAAATCTCGGGTTATACAATTAACTGGCAGAAGAGTGAGTTTGTGGCTTTGACTGCAAACCTGGAAGTTGAGTTTTTGAAAACTTTGCCTTTTAAAATTACAGATAGATTGAAATACTTGGGTGTTACTTTGCCTAAGGATCATAAATTGATCTTTAAGCTGAATTATTCTGCACAAGTTGAAAAACTGAAAAAGGAAATGGAGGGCTCTCCCTATTTCCATGGTAGGTTTCATTAACATAATCAAAATGGTTTCTCTCCCTAAATTCTTATATCTATTTTTATATATTTTTGCCGACTCAGTAGTATTACCATTTGTTTGGGGCTTTAAAACTCACAGGATATCAAAAGTTCATCTATGTAAATCCAAACTTAAGGGGGGTTTGGTCTGCCACGTTTTCAGTCTTATTATTGGGCTGTGAATGCTAGAACTCTTGCTTACTGGCAGGAAGAGTACAAAAAGGTCATGTCTCCTAATACCCCGCCCCCGGGTGGTTGTAGAGAGTGATGCTCTTCTTCTTTCGTCTTCTAATCCGCGAACCAAGGTCAATAATTTTATAGTTTTAAACTGCGTTAAAATCTTTAGTCAGATCAAAAAAGGTTGTGCACTACCAGACACTTCGATCCATACTCCAATATATCGTAATCATGCATTTCCACCCTCATGTTTAGATGCCTCTTTTGAGGTCTGGACACAGAAATGTATATTTACTCTTAAAGATTTATATATTGATAGGCAATTTGCATCATTTACCCAGTTGCAGAACAAGTTCTCTCTCCCTACATCACATTTTTTCCATTATTTACAGATAAGAAGCTATGTTCGTCAGAGTATCCTCAACTTTCCATTTCTTCCGGAGGAGGAGCCAATTTTTAAGCTCCTTCTGAGCTCCCCGGCTTCTAAAAAGTTGGTCTCTGGTTTTGTGAATGGTTTTTCAGAGTATTTGACTTTTAAATCTGACTTTTTGAAGACAGCATGGGAGGAAGAGTTTGGTTTGCTATTTGGAGATGAGGTTTGGGAGAGGAGTCTGTGTAGGATCCATTCTTGTTCTATAAATGCAAGGCATCCATTAATTCAATTCAAAGTGCTTCACAGACGTCATTATTCAAAAACTAATTTGCATAGGATTTTTCCTTCCATTAGTCCAATATGCGATCGTTATAAACTTGGAGAAGGCTCTCTTACCCATTTATTCTGGACTTGTCCCAAATTGCATAACTATTGGTTAAATGTTTTTCTGATATGTACAACTGCACATTAGAGCCACCCAATAACTGCATTGTCTGGATCCTCCTCTTCCCTTTTATACCTCAGCTCTGCTGCACAAACTACAATTCTGTTTGGAATGGTAATTGCTAAGAAAATTATCTTGGCTCTCTGGAAGTCTGACATTTTACCTCGTGGCTGGCAGAACTGATTGCTCTACTGCATATGGAGAGAATTAGGTATACATTAGAGGACAAACTTAGTACGTTTTTTAATGTGCGGCAGCCATTTTTAGATCATGTATTAAAACAAAGTCTTCTGATCAATAATTCAGTCTACCACCCTAGTGTTTTATTTTTGTATCTTGCCAGTGTTGAAGTAGTATCTTTGTTGATGCAGTGTAATTTTTTGCCTTTTGTTTTTTTGCCCTTGCTGTTGTGTTGTCTGTTTTTTTTTCTTTATATCAAAAATCTTAATAAACATTTTTTTTTTTTAATGTGCTAATTTTATTGCAGTCAAAAGGTACGTGTCAAATGTATTCAAACTCTTGAAGTTCTTATAAGCTTCAACTTAAAAAAAATTTAGGTTCTGGTAACTTTTGGGGTTTTGCAGTATAGTTGAACTTTAAGGGGCCTGTTTTGGGTTTAACCTCTTTGGGTTTAACCTCTTTGGGTTTAACCTCTTTGGGTTTAACTTCCAGTGTCCGCTGTTTTAAAGTGAATCTGGAACAAGTGCTTTAAGGTGATATTGTGCAAAGGAGGTAACACCTCAAATCTGATGAAACACCTGGCGACGCATAGCGTTGTTTTAACAGCCGAGAAATGCGCCGTACCTACTACGGGTGGTTTGCCTGTTATCGGACTCGGAGTTAGCAACATCCCCCAAAAACCCGAAGAGGAGAGTCCTGGCCCCTAGCCCTGCCAGTGTAGCAGAAATGATGAGGATGATGATGGCAGCAGCCGTTCTTCTCTGCGTGAGTAGCTTAATGTTGTTCGTGTGTAATTTACGTTGAGTAGGCTAACCACGTTATTACATTAATGCATGTTAGGTGAACTAGCAACATCGTCGTAGTTACATGCGGCTGTCTTCTTGTTTAATGGCAGATGCTCCCTTCACCCTGGCCAAAAAGGCTAAAATGACCAAAGAAAAAGTGGAAAACAGTTAAACATGAGAGGTTTTTGGACAAAGTTTCTGTTTTTTCCATTGATTAAGCACTGCTTCCAGCCAAGAGTGATACCATAAATCCCCTATAGCTGCAGAAAAGGCTAACATTGCTATCTTTTTACAAAAAAAACAGCTGAACATGAGAGGTTTTTGGACCAATTTTGTGTTCTCCATTCTTTAAGCACCGGTTTGAGCACCGTTTAAGCACCGGCACTGTTTCAAAAGTACCGGTTTGGCACCGGTATTGGATAAAACCTAAACGATACCCATCCCTAGTTACAGCGTCATTAAAAATGGATAAAATTCATTTTCAGCCTGAAATTCTACACACAATACTGTTAATGACAAAGTGAAAAAAGTTTGCTTGAAACTTCTGAAATTTAGTAAAAGTAAAAAACAGTTGTACATAGGTATGCAACATTTGCTCAATACTTTGTTGCAGTACTTTTTGAAGCAATTACAGCCTCAAATCTTTTCGAGTATGATGCAACAAGTCTTTTTTTCTGCAGTTTCTTCTTTGCAGAAAATCTCAAGCTCTATCATGTGGGGAGGAGGGATGGGGAGTGTCAGCGCACAGATCTCTCTAGAGATCTGCAGTCAGTTTCAACCTGATCTGTCAATCAGGTTCGAAGTCTGGTCTCTGGCTGTACCACTCAAGGATATTTACAGAACCGCCTCTGTACATTGCTGCATTCATCTTTCCCTAAATGATGAATAGTTTCCCAATTCCTGCTGTTGAAAAAAATCTCTATAGCATGATACAGCCAACACCATGCTTCACTGTAGGAATGGCATTGGGCATTGAGTCTGAGTCCCAGCCCTTTGCAGCATGTCTTCCCCTCTCTCTCACCCTTTGCTTTCCTGTTGGTTTTTCACTCTCCCTATCAAAAAAGCCAATTAAAGGCCAAAAAACTCTATGGGATGTTATATAGACAGTGTATTTCCAAATCATGTCCAATCAGCTGAATTGACCACAGATCAAGCCAGTTGTAGAAACATGATCAATGAAAATAGGATGTACCTGAACTCAATTTTAAATGTTATGATTTTGAATACTCATGTAGGTGTTATATTTCTTATTTTCCCTTTTAATAAATTTGCAATAATTTCAAGCAACCTTTTTTTACTTTGTCATTAGGCAGCATTGTGTTTAGAATTTTAAGGTAAAATATCAATTCAATCCTATTTGGAATATAGCTGTAATATGACAAAATGTGGAACAGGTGAACTGCTGTGCATAGTTTCCAGATGCACTGTAAGACAGAAAGTCAAAGAAGCTCCTCAAAGTTTAAATATAGCCATTACGAAAAAATAAAAGTAAAACTGAAATAAAATTCATCAGCATCATCCTGACTACAAATATGATAAAAATAAAGATAGTATAAGGAGAGTTGACAAGTCAGATTGTAGCCGTGTTTTAACCTGAGCCATGGAGACCGCATGCTCATGATTGCTGCTCAGCTGCAAAAGTGGTCTGAATTGCTTCTGCAGTCCAGTAAGTAGCAAAGTGTCTGTCTGGACCTCCTGCTCCATTTCCAGCGAATCCTCTTGGAAAACTTCCATCTGAGACAGGGAGAGAACAGTCAAAGGTAAACACACAGCTTGTTGTCACATTTATCTCTTAGACATTTATCTTGTCATCTTATACTAAATGAGCTATGCTGGTAAGAAAATCTTGGATATAATCCTTTGAATACTTAATGTAACTTTTTCAAGTAAGAGTTTATTTTTAATAATATACTAAGTTACTTATAAAATCAGAATATTCTAAACTCTCACAAGAAAAGAAAAATTTGTTATTGGAGAAATCTTGATTATTATTGTGAATTATGAGTTTTTCTGAAACGGAGCAGATTTTTTCATATTTCACGTGCTATTCTGCAGGAGCCTACACATTTTAATTCCTTTAATAACTCCTGGACCACTGTCAACATGAGCTTATATGTGAACCTCACCGTCATGCCTCTAACCCAATGACTGCTGTTATATATGTGTACTGTTGTACAGTATCAATATCATTATGTAAAGTGGAAATACTTGTTTCTCCAGGTGGGTATTGCTCCTCAGGACCAGCAGCATGTGGTGATTGATAGCTTTGTCTTCATGAAGCTTGGCATTCCTTCTTTTACCCTGTGAATCATAGCATAACAGGAAAAAAGTCACTTGATCTTAAACGTCCAAGCAACCAATTTCATTATTTCATCAGTTGAACTAACCTGTACAGAGCAGCCAAATTTCTTAAAACAGCAGTCATTGTTAACTTCAGGACATAACTGTCTATGACTGGTCAGCTGGAAAGCAAGAAAAGAAAAAAATCAGGTTACTAGATGACTTTGTGGAATACTTAACTGATTGGTCAGCAATTCTTGGGGTCTGTATATGTGAATCAGAAACTGTTACATCAGCTTATACTATATATAACTACAGCAACAATGTCCTTTTAATAATTTTCACAATTTTAGACTCTGGTAGCACTATAGTGCTTTTTTTTTACTAAGCTGTCCACTGTTTTGTATATAAATTATGTATATACTGAATGCAGGGGATGGGATATACATAACTGCCAGTTATTTCAGATTGTGCCACTGACGTACAAGAGTTGCTATTTGAATAATGCGGACATATATCTTCTTGGTTAAAGTTGATCTCTTTCCTCACCCCCATCCTTCAGTGATACCCTTCTGGTTTTGTTATGATGTCTGATTTAGTACTAAAACTGAGAAAAAACTGAAACAACCAACCAGCTCTGGTAGAATATTTGTGTACTACAGCTGGTTGTTTGTTTGAAACAGCAACAGTTAGATGATGGCTGTTCCTGCAGAGCTATGATGTGATTCAGAAGATGAGCTCACCTTGTGTCTGGGGACCTTTTGGGAACAGCCTTCAGGACAGTCTACCTTCACATCTGGACACAAGCTCTGCACATGATCCTATGGAGCACAGAGTCACCACAAAGTCACATCATAAATTTATGCTTGTACTGTATTTTAAGAGTAAATTAGTTACACTTCAGGAAGAGAAGCATTCAATTAGATTTTTGCTGTGTATTTTTGTTGGTGAGATAAAGTCCACCCCTGAATTAAAGTGACACATTACAGTGTAGCAAATGAAATCCTTTAGTAATTAGTACCAATCCTGACCTGAGAAAGCTGGACCAAGAACAGCTGGAAAGATTTGGATCACCATTCTCAGTGGTAAAAGAAAAGGTGCAGTTGTTCCTCTTCTGTGCTGTTTCAGTGGACTTTACCTGAATGAGACTGAGCTGGAACAGCTGCCTGCAGTGTGGGCAGGGTTCCCTGCGGTATGGACAGATGTTGGTCAGGTGTTCTTGCAAGTGCCTCCTCTGTAACACTGCAATGCAGCTTGTATTGGTGCATTGCACCGGCTCATACTGACATGACTTCAGGTGCTCCTGCAAGGAGTGAACAGATTACCTCGGTTGTATAGATCTGAGCCAAACATGACTTCAGCTATTTGAAAAACCAAAGAGTGAGATTGCAGTGGCAATGTCCAAAACTTCAATAGTCTTGTTATCAACACTAGCACACAGATTTTTAGCTAAAAACACCATTCTCACCTTATTTCTGCTATGCAAAACATGGTGTGTCCTTGTGGGCCAGAGAGTCAATATGCATATTTAGCATGAACATCTAATCTATTAAGTTGTTAGACTACAATTTGCATATATATAGAGTTTACCTGCAGATTGTTTAATGTGAAAATAGTCGTGCATGCTGGGGCATTGGTGCAGTACACTTCTAAACTGGAAATTTCACGTTTGCAGCAGTTATCCTGGAAAACCTGCATGGAAAAAATATTTCTTATAACTTCAACAAATCAAAAGTGCATTTTCAAACTAACACTGAAATTTTCAAACGAACACTGAAATTTTCAAACTAAAACTGACAACACCGTTTGCATGTGTTGTCATGTGTTGTCAGTGTATCTTTTCCTTCTGTGTCCAAGAGCTCCACTGATGTCCAAAAAAACATAGAACCATACTGTTACATTTGAGAGCATGGTCAAAGGAGCTTGCAAAGAAAAGCGTCTGGACTTCTTTAAGTTGCTTGAAGACGTTTCACCTCTCATCCGAGAAGCTTCTTCAGTTCTAAGGTCAATATGACCTTAGAACTGAAGAAGCTTCTCGGATGAGAGGTGAAACGTCTTCAAGCAACTTAAAGAAGTCCAGACGCTTTTCTTTGCAAGCTCCTTTGACTACGATGACCTGGATGACTGAGAACCTTCACAGACATTTGAGAGCATGGATTTTCACTACCTTGACACACACACGTCACTTAATTCAATTTTATTTATATAGCACCAAATTAAAAAAAAACTGTTGCCTGAAGCTGCATTGTAAGGTAAAGACCCCACAATAAAACAGAGAAAACAGAGGAAACCCGGCCTCCTCCCCCCCCCCCCCCCCTCAGGAAACCCCCTATGAGCAAATGCTTTGGTGACAGCGGGAAGGAAAAACTCCCCTTTTAACAGGAAGAAACCTCTGGCAAAACCAGGCTCAGAGAGGAACTACAATCTGCCGCAACCAGTTGGGGGTGAGGGAAGGAAGACAGGAGAAATCACACAAATTATACATTATTTAAAGGGAAATCTTGACCTGACTGTGGTGCTGAAGCAAAGGTCAGTGAAATTTTCATTATTCAGCCACAAACACTTCTTTATCAACTAGCTCAAAAAACTCACTGAATAATAATGACTGTGTGCTATGACAAAGTAAAACATGTACTTCTTCACAGTTAGTTTCACATAATGGCAAATGGACTGATTCTTAAATCTTGCTATTGTACTCTACTTGAGTATTCAAATCACTTTATGCAACTCATTTACTTTTATATGTCATTGTTTGCAGCTGGTCCTCTGCTTTACTGTTTAGATTCTGTACTTTCATTACATAGGTTTTGGCCACTCAGGTAGCTAATTTAAGAGAAACATTCTATTGTACACTACAACTATTAGAGACACAGCAAATATTGTTGAAACCTCAGTGTTATCGCTTAAAAAACACAGGCTCTTGTGATGTTAGTCTATGTGTATGCAGAAGATATTGTGTGTTTATTTAAAAAAAAAAGACAAATGGATTTAATTTATTTATTGCAATGATCTGTTTCAATTTGCAAGAGACAGTCTGACCCCACCTCTATTCTATGTGAAAATGTAAATATTACTGTTGTACCATAACCAGTCTTGACCAGGGAGATGACATCAGGGTATCAATCATGTTTGTTGACCTATAGGGCATTTATTTTGCTGTATGAATCTTTTAAATTAGCTTTTTTTTTCTTTTTTTTCTTTTATTTGTTTTTTTTTTAAAAAAAGGTCAAACATATCAGGTAAAGGTGGGTGTATAGCAACTCATTTTTAGTTCATTATTTGAGGCCCACTTCTTTCCAGTAGCAGGACACTTTATTTTCAGTTGTTTCAGTGAGAGACAATCCTATATATTATTACAATCCTGATTAAATTAAAAATCTTAATAATTAATTTTACTATGAAAATAAATGTTTCTATTAAAAAAAAAGTTTGTTTTTTGTTTTATATGCTGTCAATTATAGTTCTTATGAAGAAATTCTGAATCAGTAAAAATTGGTATTGGCATGTCACACTTGGACCTGCCAAGAAAACCGTAAATGGCACAGCTCTAGCTTCTGCAGAAGCTAAAAGTCTGCCTGACAAATTACAGCTGCCCTCTGTCTCACCTCAGTTGGTGTGATCACAGCTTTGTCCACTGGGCAAACTGGGTTGGACGGTGAACTCTCCCTGCAACACCAAGCACAATGACCCAACCATACATTTTTTAAGGAGGACATGTGTTAAAATAAGTGTGTTTTAAGGTAGACTGTGTCAGTAAGGGTGCTATGTCAACCAGCTCATGTCTTAAATTGACTGAACTTTTTTAAAAGATGGACTGTAAGACCAATATGTTTAACTTGAACAGCTTTTCTTTTAGTTCTTTTCAATTTCATGTGTGTTTTTTGGGAGACTATATCAAATTTTTTACAAGGCTTGTGTCAGTATAAATGTGGTTTTATGTGAACTGTGCCAGTGTGTGTGCATCTTAAGATGTACTAGCTCTTACAATAGTCCTTGGAGACAGTGGAAGCAGTAGATGTGACCACAGGAGTTTTGCTGGGGATTGAGCACCACCTCTCTGCAGATTGGACAAACAAATTCCTCCTTCAGCTTCAACACAAACTTTAACCTGTGCCTGATGGAAGCCAGCTCTGAATCCCAGGAGACTGTGGGGCCCGACAACCTCCTTCTGGATTCCTCAGACCCCAGCCTCGACTCTTCGGACCTCAACGAGTAGGTCTCAGAGGGAACGCTTGACTCCTCCGGGGATCCTCCCTGATTTGTATTTGCTGTTGCCATGAGCTTGCAAGAGGCCAGAATAAAGAGCTAGTACAGGTGATTGAAATATAGAAATATGATATAGAAAATTGTGCAGTGCAAAATGGCATCACTACGTTGGGGGTTGCCACAGTGGATCGTCTGACTCCAACACACCCTATGCTTAGCATCCTCCTCTGTCACATCAACCCTCTGCATATACATCCATGAATCTTCTCTGTGGTCTTCCTCTTTTTGTCCTGCCTGGCAGGTCTATATTCAAAATCCACTGTCTCCATTTCTAATATATCCACTATTCCTCTTCTGCACATGCCAGCCTTGTCTCTCTAACTTTGTTTCCAAACTACTCAACCTCAGGTCTCACTACCATTTTGTAAATCTTTCCTTTCGTTTTCATTGGTATCACTGTCACAAATCACACCTGACACTAATCCCAACCCACTATTCTCTTCTTCACCTCTCTTGTCCACAATGCATTGCTTTCAATGGTTGCCCCCAGGTTTTTAAACTCATCTACCCTTACTATCTCTGACACCATAACATGCTTTCCCCCCAAAGTCCATCCATCCATCCATTCGCTACCGCTTTTCCTTTTCAGGGTCACGGGGGGCGCTGGAGCCAATCCCAGCTGTCGCAGGGCGAGAGGCGGGGTACACCCTGGACAGGTCGCCAGTCTGTCACAGGGCTAACACACAAGGACAGACAACCATTCATACTCACATTCACACCTAGTGACAATTTGGATTAACCAATTAACCTATCCCCACAAGCTGCATGTCTTTGGACGGTGGGAGGAAGCCGGAGTACCCGGAGGGAACCCACGCAAACACGGGGAGAACATGCAGACTCCACACAGAAAGACCCCGGCCTGATGGTGGAATTGAACTCAGGACCTTCTTGCTGTGCGGCAACAGTGCTAACCACCGTGCCACCGTGCTTTCCCCCAAAGTCTGTAGCATATATAGTAATACATGTAAAAAAAAAGAAAAAACAAAAACAAAACTATAGGCAGAGCTTTAATAACAAATCCAACTTCTACAACGCATTAGGAAATCATAACTAAAAGTAAAGTATTTCGGATCAATCATCCCGTTATCATCAAAAGAACAAGACTGTACATTTCTAGGTGTGTGCGCACAGTTACAGCACACAGTGGGGCGTCATACACAGCACATGCTAATGATAGGTACACGTGAACTTTATCTTTGCCGCTACTATACTGCTATGAAACCGTAAAAACAACGTTGATTGTGCGTTAAATGTATTTAAAGTAAAAGAGACAGAGGTCGTTGTGTTGTCTGTGCTCAGTCTACTGGGGAATCCCCGCTGCTGCGTCTTTCTTTACATTTCAGCTCAAATTAATGCTCTGGAGGCCGTTTTACTTACTGCTATGCTTCTCTCAAACAACTTTAAGCACCTTTCGGATATTTAACGCGTTTATCCTCTGAAAAGTTTCGAACTCCAGATGTTCCCTCTGAGCACCACGGCTGATTTACTTTCATTTTCCACTGTGAGTCCAAGCTTCAGCGTTTGGTTTTCTTACCTCAGTAAGTGAATCTCTCTGAAGACATTAAAACACTTCAAGACAGCGATCCATGCAGTTCCAGCATGGATCAATGTTAATGATCGCTATTGATGATCCTATGATAGGCAGCGCAGCCGTAGCAGCAGGAGAAGGAAACGTTAATGCAGGAAGTGATTCAACAACCTGCTGCTGCCCGATGCTATAGGCCTATTGCAGCTCACACGAGGTAAGAAAAATCGTTTCATTCAAACTGTAATGATGAAAGGCAAGTTACAAGATTAATATCAACCACTGTTGGAAGAAGTACTCAGAACATTTACTCAGATTAAAATCCAGTAATCTAGATTGATATGCTACATCACTCCAACGAAATACAGCGTACATAATGAAGTTGCAGTGCAACTCTAAGGGCTCTTCTCTTGAATCTGTCTGCTGTTACCGTGGGCTACTTTTTTTTTTTTTTTAACTGTTTAGTGAGATTTTTGTACATTTTTACGCTGGTGACACAGAACTATACCTGCCACTTACACCATTTGAACCTGGTATGTTGGCTGTCTTTGTGAAATTCAGAATTGAATATCAAATAATTTCCTCCGGCTAAATTTCACCTCAGCGGCTTGATTTTTTCATTAGAGCAAAGAGATCGGATCACAATGCTCTCATGTTGGCACCTTTACGCTGACTCCCAGTGTATTTTATAATTGACTTTAATATTTTATTGGTTATTTTTAAGTACCTGCTCATAGCGACATCCGGAACCTGTTGTTACCCAGTACTAGTAGAGATCTTGCAGACTCTGAAGGAAATCAGGTCGGCGGAACCCCGACTTAAAACACACCTTTAAGTCAAGAAGTTTAAGATAAGGCCCTCTCTGACTTTTTAATTAGTTTTGAATTGTCTTTTTATTTCTTGCGTTTATTACTTTTGCTTTAATCTGTTGTCTCTGTAAATGTCTTTGCAACATGGACTTTGAAAAGTGCTAAATAAATAAAGCGTTACTATTTTACTAGTCTTATTATTATTAATACTAACAAGATGAAGAAGAAGATGAATAAAACCAGTCATGGTACAAATATATTTTTTTAATGACATTGGCAAATGGCCTCAGAAGGACATGTCAGGAGCTTCATGTTAACATCAATATTTTTTACCATACTGAAACTCAAAGGACTCTATGATTCTGGTTACATTGAATGCTGTGATTCCAAAAAGCATTAAGAGCACTTGCACAATGAGTTTTTTTTTAAAACACCAAGTCCAAAGTGGTAGCACCAGGAAGAAAGGGAATAAATAGCAGACACTCAAATGGCTTACTTTTACTTACCCAATAAAATCTAAACATAATGGGGGAAAAAAAACCAACAATAGAACAATTAAAGGAAAACTTTTACTTTGACTGATGGAGATGTTTCCACAAATGTAAAAGATGTTGATGTGAAAATTTTGTTTAGTGTTTTCAAAAAGCATTAAATTAACTACATGACCAAGTGTAAGTGTACAGCAGGATTTATCAGTGTTATTGAACAAGTTACTAACAGTCCACTGGATGCACACTAGGTTACAAATTATTCAAGAATATACTGAACTTTACACATTGTTGTCTTGTGCAGAATTACAAGGCCTGTCAGAAAGATTATGTACCACTGATATCATGAGTACATCGTTATGCTAAATGACATGTCAGAAACTATACTCAACCATTTCCTATGTGCAAACTCAAAGTGGTACTGTTGTGCTGAGCAACATATTTCATCGTGGATATTTTCCCACCTGCTACCCCTAAACTGGGTAAATCCTCTGCTGAAAAATTGTTCTTAATTAATAGTTCTCTGTTTTCTCCCATTTATTTGCTAAAAGCTGCAGTAACTCTGCTAAAAGTACAGATTTGTAAGTGGTATTTGCCGGTGACATTGAGGAAAAGAACGTAAGTCACCAGAGTTTAACACAAAACTATCAGTTTATAGCCCTGCTGGAACCCCCAGAGGCCACAGTTTTATTAGAGCTACAATAGGAACAGCGTCTTGTTGCCCCCCACCCCATCCAAAAAATGAAAACAAACAAATAAGTTAATTAATTAATTAATTGATTTAAAAAAAATGCCCTGAGGTATAATGAGTGGGAAATGACATACAGTAATCAGATATCTGAAAATAACCTAACAGTGAAACTTGAACGTCAAAGGGAACACAAGGACTGTTTTAGTACTGGTACAAAGACTGTAAACACTGGTGGATATATTTGTATATGGCAACGTAGACAGTGTTCCAATGTAAGAGGCCCACCCTAGAACTCACAAGAGCCAAAGGATTCAGAGAAGTTGAAGGATGCTTGTTTCTTAAGCCAATCCTAAGCAGATGTTTTTCTGAGTATGAGTTCTGCTGGAGGAAGCTGCACCAAGAAATACCGTTGCCATAGGATGACGGGCTTAGTCTGACATAGATACAAGTACATGGGCAGTACCTGTCAAAGAAAAACGCACAGCCCACAGTTTTACCAAAAGAGTAATGCACTGTAATAAGAGGATGATTATTTATTTAATCTGTTAATGGTTTTACTAATAATGGCGGACTAGTGTACTTACACTAACTTAAGCATTTATTTATTTGCAGGCCAACAGTCAGTTCTACTTTGGACTTTTGCAGTACATAACAATTTAAAATAAAGTCATTTACTCAAGATGCTGGCCTAATTTACTAATAGGCTAAGACAATTGGGGTGGCTGTAGCTGAGGCGGTAGAGCTGGTCACCTACTAATCGGAATGTTGGTGGTTCCAGTCTCGTATGTCAAATATCCTTGGGCGAGATACTAAACCCAAGTTGCTCTCCAGTGCATCCATCGATGTGTGAATGTTAGATAGAAGAACTTACATAGAAAGAGAATAGGAAAAAAAAGTGCTTGGGTGAATCAAGGAAGTTGTGTAAAGCGCTCAGAGTAGAAAAGCACTCGATAAGAACCACTCAATTTACCATTTATGAAGGGCCAGCTATTATCTCAAGGAGCAACTAAGCTTGAGCCACTATAAAGTCAAAATCCCTGCAAAACAAATGAAAAATATAGCCCAATAACACACTAAATTAAGATAGATGGTAGCTACAAGGTAAACCAATTAAATATTGTCAATGTGAACATCTTAGCATGCTGTCATTGCAGAGCTCCTGAGAGTGACCACTTCTTTCACAATTGTTTGCAGAAGCAGTCTGCATGCCTAGGTATTTGCTTTTATACACCTGTGGAACCCCTTAACTCAATGCGTTGGATGGGTGACGGAATAATTTTGGAAATGTGTAGTGTAGCTCAAAGCTTCACCCAAATACAGCCTGACAGAGCTGCTAACATGACTCTTAATTGTCTTATATCAACAAGTCGATTTCTATAGATGACTAACTTCTGCCATGCTGAATTTTTGCTGCTAATTAAGTTGTGTCCAAGGAAAATAAAGGGCTGACAACAAAAGGATAGAGGGTTGAATCCTTTGGCATACCACATTTTCTATTAGGGAAATAGGTGATGATGACAAAGCTCTCATTTAATAATCAACACACTTTGTTACATGCATTTGACTTTCAAGCCAAAGACTCCAAAAGTGTTTGTTCATTTCAAAACAAAAACTTTAAAACCTACCCTTCAACCAGTATGTGTAGTAGACATGAAACTACATGTACTGGTTGAAAGACAAATATGAACCCAGCACACAATATTAAAGACTAAAAACTTAAGTTCATATTTTGTACAAATGTGTTGCCTGTCCATTCATATAAAAAAGAAATTACACCTCCTTTCAGTTCTATGGTTTTATGTATTGGGAAATAATCCTGTCATTAGGAGATCTAAAAGGTTGGTCTAAAAATGTGATAAATATAACCGTAGATGAACAACAACACATGACAAACGCCTCATATCCTAACACCTCATACCAGCTATGAAGCCCATTCCTATACACAGGGGTGCACATCAGTGGTCCGCAGGTGCGTATGCGCTGTCAAAATAAAAAACGCGCACCAGATAAGAAGTTGTCCGAGTGGGATTTTCACGGCATATTCTGCACCACATCTCTGTGCGTTCATCATTTGTGTGAAGCCAGCTCACCTCCTGCAACCGCTTTTCCGAGAATACGTGCTTCTTTTACGGTTCGGACTCTTTCTGACATTTCTTTGGAGGTGGAGGAACACCAAAGTAATTGCTTAAAGGAGCTTGCTTCTTCGACTTCTTTAAGAGTTCTAAACAATTGTCTGTTCTCCTCCAGAAAATCTTATGTACGCAAACGCGCGTTGCAACTTCTTATCTGGTGCGTGTTTTTTATTTTGACAGCGCATACGCACCTGCGGACCACTTATGTGCAGCCCTGCCTATACAACGCCACTCAGAAGTTTGGACACACTTTCACATTTTATGGTTTTTCTTTATTTTACTACTTTCTACATTTTAGATACATACTGAAGACATCAAATATATGAAGCAAAATCTATGGAATTATGCACCAAAGAAAAAAATGAGAATAACTCCTAATATGTCTTATATTTTAGCTTCCACCCTTTACTTTGTTGACAGCACTGCAAACCTTTGGCCTTCTCTCAATGAGCTTCAAGATGTATTCACCTGAAATGGTTTCACTTCACAGGTGTGCCTTGTCAGGATTCATTTGTGGAATTTCTTGCCTTCTTAATGCAGTTGGGACCATCAGTTGTGTTGTGCAGAAGTCAGGTTCGTACATAGCTGATAGCCCTATTTGATAACTGGTAGAATTCACATTATGGCAAGAACCAAGCAGCTAAGTAAAGAGACATGACAGTCTATCATGACTTTAAGAACTGATGGAGAAGCATGGAGGTGGAGGTGTGATTGTTTGCGGGTGCTTTGTTGGTGACACTGTTAGGGATTTTTGCAAAATTGCAGGCACACTGAACCAGCATGGCTCCACACCATCCTACAGCAACATGTGTGAGGGCTATTTGACCAAGAAGGAGAGTGATGGAGCGTTGGCCTCCACAGTCACCTCACCTAAACCCAGTCGACATGGCTTGGGATAAGATGGATCGCTGAGTAAAGGCAAAAGGGCCAACAAGTGTTCAGTATCTCTGCAAGCTCCTTCAGAGTGTTGGAAAACTATTTCAGGTGACAACCTCATGAAACTAATCGAGAGAATGCTAAGAGTGGCAA